GAGCTGCAGTCTGCATGAGACGAAAAGTAACAGCGAACAATCGGAACTATATATCGTACCTCCTCCACGGAATAAACACTTAAGTCGACACGTACAGGGCAAAATCACGCTGATAATATAATATTCAATAAAACAATTTATTATATAGCGCCATAATAAAAAAAATTATAAAGTAACGGTAGGTACATAAAAAACAAGCTGGGGGCACGCCAATAGCATTCAAAGTAAAATGTGAGAGAAAACAATCAGTGATTCTTGACAGCTTTCAAATTTTAATCTAAAATCTCCCTATTTTAAAAGACTACATTTGAACTTGAGAACTCTGATGACTACTCTTGAACGCTCTCAAAGACTAAAAGCCTTCTTAGAAGAAGTCGGCAGAATGCTCCGAAACTAATCTAAGGAAATTCACATCTCTGTCACAGATGAAAAATTCTTACCTTGGCCCAGGTTCGAACACCAGACCTCCGGCTATATAGCCGTTGGACGACACAAAAAAAACATACGACGCGAATTCGTACAACTGCTCCAAAATTTCTTTAACTAATTGCTCGGATCCCCGACGAGTAAAATATGTGACAGGATTCAAACATCAAGATAATAAGAAAAAAAAGCGCGCTTCAAATGACACCAAGTGCACTCCAATCAAACTACGTTTGCTGCAAACACTTCTAATTAGCTACCAGTTAAAATTTGTAAATTCAGAATTCAGTAATATCAATTATTTATTCTTGCGAATTTCACGTCACCGGTAATATAAACTTGTTTATTCCTTCGCTTAAACACACAATAGGATAGGACTCCGATCATAAATTTCTAAATTAAATTAAATTGAATTGAATTGAATTTAATTGAATTGAATTGAAATGAAATGAATTGAATTGAATTGAATTGAATTAAATTGAAATGAATTGAATTGAAATGAAATGATGTGAAGTGAATTGAATTGAATTGTTATTATTTATATTTTGCATAAAATGCTGATTTGATATTTGTATCGCCTGAATCATTTGTTTGTTTCACTGTACAGGTGGTTATGATGCAATTTTATATCAATTAATTAATTATGGAGGAAACATGAATTATCCGACGATGAAGCAAAGACACGCATTTTCGTTTCATAAAACTTCATATTCTCCTACATAGCGTTTAGGCTAAATGCAACTGCAATATTACTCTCTATTTTTACCTTAGATATTTTGTTTGCCAATATACAGCAAATTAAAACCTGCAATTACCAACTTAAAAAAACGCAACCTCAAGAACGAATTGTGGGAAGAGAGAACTCATAAAGAGCGATTGAGACGTCTGCAAGAAATATATCCATTGGTGAAGTCAAAACAAAAGCTATTTCGGTTAAAAATGCGCTTTAACTGCAAAAGAGTTGTGCACAATTTATACTTGTTTCGTATCTGCGAACGTTATCGAGAAAAAATAACACAATGCTGTATATGTAAGTACTTACAGGGTGGTTTGAATTCGTGGCTTACCATTTGAACCTCGGTAACGGTGCGAGCTAGGTTAAATGGAAACAAAGTTGCTCCTTTTTGTGACGAAAAAGGCGTTTTTTGGAATTTTTAAAAATCTTCAGAAGTTCCATAACACGCTGTAGACGCTATAAACTAGGTATATACCTACGACTTTCTTGTTTCTTATGGACGCCATATTGGATTTTTACGGAACAAAAAAGAAAAATAATGTCGTATCACACTCTATATTATACTTTTACATAAATTTACAAGAAAAATTTTACATTTATTTCACAAACACAAAACAAAAACAAACAAAACATCCACGGGTAACTAGATCCTGCCGAATCAAAATGGCTATGATGGCGATCCATTCAAATGAATTTTTTTTGTCCTCCATCTCATTCCGTAAAAATCCAATATGGCGTCCATAAAACATAAGAACGCCGTAGCCTATAGCTTCTACATCTAGCGCGTTATGGACATTCTGATAACGGATTCAGCTTCTCCGAAAAAAAGTGCCCATAGAAGGTGCTAACGGGAACCATAGGTACATTTCCGACCGATTAAGCTAGGGGAAAATGAAAACGAATCTTGACATTTCCAGTTTTTCGGCGATATCTCAGTGAACTTTCAAAAAATTTAAATGCGTCATTTAACCTAAACTATACCTCTCACCGTTAGGGAGAGATCCCAATAGGCTACGAATTTGCACCATCCTGTACATCATATTAGCACAGATTTAAGTATATTTAAATCTGTGATATTAGGAACGCCCTGCATAGTTATGTTACACACGGAGCCAAGTCAGCATGCAGCAAACTTTAATTTTGAAAATAAAGTAGGTATACCCTTGGCATTTAAAGCCGGTATTTTAACTATGTTGTCGGCTAACGGTGTTGTTAAGGCATATGTGTGATTGCAAAAACATCCAATCACATACCTTAACAACACTGTTAGCTGACAACATAGTTGAGTATGAGAGGTTCCACCCTGTATATGCAACTTACGACGATGCACACATTTTTGAGAGTGGGCAACCACGCAATTTTTAAGAGGGGAAAGCTGCCTGCGCCATCTAAAAAGCACGAATGTGGGTTACGTTTGGCACCTGATCTTGAATGGCGGTCGTGTAATGTTTGTCGTTAATTTGTGTTATTTAATGCAGGTAGTAATTTTTGCATTTCTTTATATCGTATTTGTGTTTTGTATGCCACATTTTATATTTTTTGTGGATTGTTTTTGAAATTTACTTGGTTTAACCGCAATGCAGAATGACATGTTTAATACCGTTATCCTTTTGTTTGTAATCGTTTACGTTTTTGGTGTAATGTTTGCTTAATTTATGTTTATTGATGTTGATTACTTGATCTTGTCCCTGAAGTAACATTCATATAAGGTTTGATCATTTTATTTTAATATGTGGAAATTACCGATTCGTTTGATGTATGTACTGACTTGTTGTTTGTAACTAACCATTTTCTCCGTGAATGAAGCAGTCACGGGGGTGGTAAAAACTGTAGTCAAATTTGAACTACGACACCTAATTCCGTGATTGTCTTCGTCTTTCAACTGTAGGCTCGGAAGCTCCGAACGAGGGGCGACGCCACATATCTTGCAGGGGCGAGATTATGTTAATCAAAACTCTTCAGTTTAGAATCTATGTGCGATAAGTGAGTTACGATTCGTAATTTCCACATACTTCGACTTTAGTTGCATTTGCCGACAAGGCCATGTAATTTTCCATCTTGCTTTTAAAAAAAGGACTTTATTGCACCAAAGATGAGTCACATCCTGTGTATTTCACCCTTATTTAGAATCTTGGTACCTGCTTACCTGACCCATAATTCCCAAAACTTGTTTTGTGATGTTATAATTCTATGTTACGCATTCACATCATTACAAGCAATTAATTTTACAACACAATTTGATATTAATTTGACGGCTGGTTTTTTTATTGGTAAGCTCTTTTTTTCCCAGCCTATTTCTATTTTTATTCGGTGAACTACCATTTTCAAAGTTTATTTTCGCAATGTAATTTATTTCGACCTTAATTTCCGAGCTTTGACAATCATAATAATTACGATCATTATTAAACAAACTTTTCACAATTTCAGTGTTCTATTTTACGTTCCTTCCCTACTGTGCTTCAGGTCAAAGCGTTGTCTACAAATAACGTAAGGGGGTCCTGTCTTAGGTGTTTGATCACGTACCACTTTTCAAATTTAAGCGGGATCTTTTTTAGTTTTGGAGGGAATAGTCATTCGGGTGGCCATTTTTAAACGTTGCCGGGTTGACTTTATTTCCATGTTCTTGTAGTGTGAAGTTAGCGTAGAACCTGGGGGTTAAGTACACTACAAGTATATAGCTTTATAACACCGGGCGTCTCTGATACAACTAAAACAATGATATGCCTCTGTTCGACTGCGCAATCTTTCATTCCATTACTGTTTAGGTAGAATTATTTTTAAGGGTTGCGATATACCGGTTCCAGTTCTGTGGCTTCAGTAATTTTCTGTTCCGGTTCCGGTTTCAGGTTTTTTTTTCGGTTCTTAACGGTTCCAAAATAAATAAACTCTCACTGTTTTTGATTCATTTTCGGTCAGTAAAATGGTTTATATTTGTGTTATAGTATTTATTAGGGTTAAGTTGGTAGAAATTAATTGGCAACTCTGAATATTTGGATTTTTGGCTTTTGAAATTTTAAGAGAGACAATATAAGACACATTTCCCGCTCGCAAAGCGCAACGTGTTTACTCTACCTACAACATAGCGAGAGAGAGAGAGAGAACCGAAAAAATCGGTTCTTTGGCATTAATAATAACGGTACCGGTATTGGTTCCGGTTATCATAATTTCTCAAATAATATGGTTTCGGTTCCAAGTGAAGGGCTTATCAATGCCATCGGTTACGGTTCCGGTTCAAACCCCTGACCGTATCTAACTGTAAATGAAAGAAGACTAAATCACGTGGGTCCAAGAGAGATGGGTCATGGGCGAATATCACCAGTATCCTGCCTGTACAGTCCGGTTTTGTTGCATTTGTATTTACGAGAAGTGACATACGTTTCTATTGAGTACATTCGTTATCCCACACATCTGATTATTTCGAGGAGGATTATTCGATCTTTCTTTATTGACCAACGCATGGACCTATCAACTCGCGTGATTAGCACTATACGGGGAGATTCACGTAGTCCGTTCATTTGAACTACACACTTTACTTTACGGCCTTAGTTATGTATGTATAAATATGATCGACAACAGTTTCAAAGACTCCCCAGTCACAATTTATGGGTCAATTACTTCAAATGCAAATAATTTCAGAAAAGTGAAAATAAGCTGATATTTAAAAAATCGCGCATGCTCTGAATAAGAGTCACGTTTAGATTTAACAATCAAACAAGTTTAAATTCGTTACCGCGATTTTGTCGTATGATTCCTGGCCCCTACCCCAAACCCCAGCCGCAGTGACGTCACTTTCAGTAGTCATTCAAAAAAGGCGGGGAGGGGACGAAATAAAACGCACAAATTTTTGCAAACAATTTAATAAATTAGTAAGTGCTCAACATTGTTTATAAAGCTGGAGTATTCTTTAGAATAATTCGACTAACACAAGCCTCCTCCTCGTCCTACTCGTTAAAATTCTGTATATACATTACGGTGTGTAAAGTGAGAACCTAATCATTTACGCACTCTGTCCTAAATTACAAGTAAATACAGAGAAAGAGTTAAGTACAATACACCCGAATTAGTATAATAAAGAGCTAAATCGCCAAATAAAAGTAAAGCGAGACTAGAATGAGAAGTTTGACTTAAAATGTTTTACTTTTAATTAGCGACCATCACATAAAATATATACTCAAAATTTCTTTACAATAATAAATTAGGGGTTGACTTTTCGCAATGTAAAAACGGGGGAAACAATCATCAATAATTAAAAAAAAAGGGGGGGGGGGGTTAAGGTGTATAAGATCTATGGTGATTTTCTACTTATAGCCGTGACTTCTGACTGTCCAACTCGTAAAATAGCACATACGCTTCCCCGCTCACCAACATCTTCGGCGAGATGCTCGAGACCCTAAAAAAAAAGAATGGTCAGTTACGTGATTGGTCATGTCGTCGTGCCCTCACCTCGAATCGTTATATTCGTGCCAAGTTTGCGAGTACGGGTGGCGGCAGTACGCCGTGTAGTGACCGCTGTAGGTGGTGCCGCTGTGGTTGGAGATCGCGTACAAGTTGTATCGGCACTCCGACGGGCTGTTGTCGGCGGCGTAGTTTCGTAGGTCGAGATTCTCGAGGGGGAAATCAATTGTGCTCGATAGTTTTCCACGAAACCGTTCCGTCGGCGAGAACCGTTTGAGATCTGTACCAAATTTAAGGAAAATTCTACCACTTAATCCTTGCACTAGATTAAATTATATGTTCTGAGTCAGACAAAATTTGAGGTTATGTTACGATTTTTATTGTTGTTTTAGAATCTAAGGGATATGGAGAAATTGAAGAATCATAATTTCAAAAATTTTAAAAAAGGAAGAATCTAAAAAATTTTAGGATGGTAAGAATTGGAAATTCGGAAAGAGCATACTCAAAAAGTTGGACAAGCTCTCTTTTCCAAATTTCAGGCCTTACCGCGTGTTTCCATATTCAACAAAAGAAAACACCCAATCAACTTTTGAGTTTTAAAAGGTTTTTCAAAAACGAAAATTTCAAAGTCCAAAGTTTGCCTTCAAAGTCCAAAGTTTTCCTTTGAAATTTGAACGACGATCAATCTACGAAGGCGAGCAAACTTTGGACTTTGAAAAGTGACCAACATTTGAACCCTAAGTTTAAACTTGAGGTCACTCACCCTCCACCCCCCTCACAAATCGCTACTATCTTCATTTGGTAGGGTCGTTAACCTTTAGGCCTCCATTTAGTTTTTTCAAAGTGTAACGCAGTTACTTATTTTCCACTTTTAAGTTCATACCCGAAGTTTGCTGAACACCCGGTATCTAGAAGGATTTTAAGTTCGTTACTAAGAAACCGTAATTTCTGAATTTACTTATTTGCTCTCGGAGACGAGGAGTGAACTTTGTATGGTTTCATTTGGTTTAAAAAAAAATTTGGATACTTTGCGTAAATTTTATTTTAGATTCAGACCGCTTAATTTTGTTTTGGGTTCAGTTTTCCGCATTTCTGCACATTTTGCTTTTTGTTGCACAGAAACTTCTACAGTTCCGTTCCATGGCAAGGTAAGATATATTTTCTATTTCTTCTTTTGTTTTCCTTTGTTTTTTTTTTATTTTAACATTAACGTATATTTTTTTATATTCTTTGTGTACATGAACATTGTTATTGGGAAAACCTGTTATGTTCATAAATAAATAAATAAATAAATAAATAAATATAAGGGGGAGAATATTGTTCGAGTCCGCCCGCCCGTTTATTCGTTCGACCGACTGCCACTACAGTCGTCCGCTCCCAAGATTTAATTACTATATTCTGTAAATTAGTTAACTTTTGTCTTTTAAAGTAGATGGTAATTATTATTCCGCTAATACGGCGTGTGCGAGAACTACCCCAAGTTGAGTTACGATCAACCCTATATCGCTCACAAAAATTAAGTGTTGCTTTTGAAGATATGACACCACAAAAAAGGAGTAATTGACCTTCAAAATGAAATAACACCAGAAAAAATGGGGATATTGACCTTTGATGAACTTAAAAATGGAATGACACCGCAAGAAATAGCCATAGAACTTTGATAACTTTAAAATTGACGTGACACCACAAAACAGGGGTCATTGTCCTCTAGTTATCTTAAAAATGAGAACAAAATGGCGTCTTCAACGGCAAACAACCTTGGGGTTTGAACGGCGACCAACCTTTGAACTTTGAGCGGCAAGCAAACTTTGGACTTTAAATGTCGATCAAATTTTGGACTTTGAACTTCCTCGTCAGGAGAGCTAGATGACATTGAGGGCACCTGAATTTAGCCTTATGGAATTTCATAGAGTTAATTTAGAATATCCCTATATGAGTATCGCTTGGTTTCATCATAAATGCTCAGCATACGCTATTCATGACATATTATGCATGAATGCGGAGGGGATTCACCGCCAAGTGCCGAACGACCTTTGAACTTCACCTTGACCTACGTGGCACCGCAAAAATGGGGTAGTTGACTAACCTTGAAACTGAAATATGACATCACAAAAGAATGGACCTCTGAGAATCTATATCTTTGTGACTCCATTGTCGAGGCAAAATCGTCCATTATAATTTTAAAAACAATTGAAACGTTTTTATTAGCTTATCTATCACTGCAGCATTTTCTCTATTGTACAAATTTTTTTTGGTATGGTATCTAAAATTATCAAGTGTGCTAGCAATTCTACGCACTTTTTTTTCGTGTGTTCTTTGTGATCATAATACAAACGCACTGCAACATCATACAGGCAATGATAATCGACACCGTAATTCCGTGTAAAAAAACACATGCCTATTAGCATTTTAACACACAAGACTACTAAGAATTCAAAATGTGTCCAAATGTGACTATGTAACGAATGATAAATCTAATTATAAAATGCATTTATTAACGCACGTTAAATGGCGGGAACGTCAACTGAAAAAACCGTACATCGTGTTTAGGGCGAATACTTTTAGTTAGAATGTATCCAACGCGTATCATCTTTTGGTCTTGGAACGATCTCTACACCAGATGTACAAAAATTACATTTTTTTCAAAATTAGAAAAATAGAACAAGGACACATTTTCAATAACAGGAGTCTTGAGTGCCCACCAACCCAGAATTTTTTTGGGATAGCTCGAAATCAAACATTTTGGAACCGAATCAATTTTAATTATTAAAACAATAGAAATGTCTATTGTATCAACCAGCACATCACATGTTTTTATTTCCATGTTCCAAGATACCAACAGTATAGTAACACTGATCCGGCTCACTTTGACCTTGAGTTCTGCGCATGAACCAAGTGAATGTCACTGAAGGTCATCGTGGTTGTTGTCTAAACTAAATACCCACCTAAGGTTAAAGGTGGGGTTCTTTCCTGAACTAATGTCACCTTCAGTAGACTTTTAGTTTAGATAACAATCACGATCGAATTGAGTTTAGACAACAACCACAATGACCATCAGAGACATTCACTTGGTGCATGTGCAGTAGTTCAAATGACCCTTGGAGGTAAACCCAAGATCAAAGTGAGTCCGAATCGGTGTTACCATACTACCCACATACCAAAGATGAGCAGTGGGAATTTTTTTAACCTCGTTTAAGGGTACGTTTATTACAAAATCCAAAAGGATATACCCATTAACCTAGGCAAAGCTTTTCTATGTGTAATGATTGGCAAGAAAAAGTTAAAGAGAAGAAATGTAAATTTTTCGATTGGATTAGTTCAATCTATCTAATTTTTAATTTCATTTTTAAGTACCTGCAATATAATTTAGAAAATGGAAATAAAACGTTATACTCGAATACATTTCTAATTAAATTGACGTACAAAAATCTCCATTTTTGTAAATAAAACCTTTTCGGGGGAAGGTGATAATACACCGTTCATTCAGTGGCTTGTTGCAGAAGCAGAAGAAAAGTTGGCAGGTGCAAAGTACTAGTACTTGCAGAAAGCGATTTGAGAATTTTTAATTTCATTCCCCGATTATAGTTTTATATGTCATGTTTGAAGTAACGTTACTTAGCAACAACCTTTAAATTTCTGATGAAGGTTATAATAAAAAGTATAAAATAAAAAGGATACGTATAACCAAAATCTTCGGAAACTTCTGAATTGTGAACGATTTGGTGCACTTCCTCCTCTCCTTGCACTTCGAGCAGGTCTGTGAACAATCGCACATAAAAAAAATAGTATCCAATTCGCAAGTGACTTACACCTACAGGCTTTTCGTCGCCGTCGAGCGTCTCCTCCCTGGTGAAGTGATCGAGGCACTGCTGGAGGCGCAACGAGCCGGAAGGTCGCTGCGGTATCGAAAGGGACAGGTCCCAGAAGGGATCGAACGTCACGGAGCAGTGGCCGCAGTGCGTGCACTTCAGGGTCGACTTCAGCTGACCGACGAAGATGTCGACGACCTTCGAATTGTCCATTCGGAGATAGCGCTGCCACGATTCGTACGCCTTCTCTCCGTCGCTCAGCTTCTCGTCGATCTCAGTAAGGATCGGCGCGGGTTTCGTCGTCACGCGGTTAACGTCCTCGTGTAGACCCTCGAGAAGGTAGCGCAGGAACTCCTGCGCGTCCTGCTGCGAGTACCCCATGAACCTCGGCGCGAACCTTTGAATTTGCGATTTCAACGTCAAGGTGTTGACCACGCGATCCGATGCTTCGTCCGACCACAGCTCCTTGATCACTTGCGAGAATGCTAAAAATGAATGTCGATAAGTGAGGTTATGGCGCGACCGTACCTAACCTTTAATTAACGCCCCTTTCATACTTGAGATGCTCGTATTAATGTCGGACGAGTAACCGTCGTTTTTGACATATTCGAGTAATAGTCTAGTATTCGATAGGCACTGTATCACTGAGTTCATAAAACATGTGTTGCCAATGTTTTTCAGTCCATTCAATCCCAACACAGCGACCGGACTATTTCTGCCTTCGCGTTCTAACGAGTTCCGATGGTAGTTATTCGATCCGGCTATGCTATTCGAGGTGCTCGGCAGTGTCGTGCTTTGAGAGAGAGCTCGGTTGAGTCGTGGCGATGTTGTCAGATCCTTGAAATAAAGAGGAGCATTCAAAGAAATTTGCAAACACTGGAAAGAACGGCTGTTTTTAGTATGCTGCATGCTACAGAAACAGAATCTCTGATTATGGTCTTAGAAATGTACTAGAGCAAAATTTCAATGTTAACTGAGAAGGGGGGAGGGGTAAAGAAAATCGACTATAAAAAAAACCTATTCAGTCAGAAAAAATCAGATACTAACATCAGTAGAGAATTAAAAATCCAATTTAATTTTTCACTTTTTTTTGTCAGGATTTTTTAAAAATTTTTTATGAATTTTTTAATTGTTTCGAACTTGCGCCTGATTTGTCCAGGGCGGAAATAAAACCAAATTTAAATTTTTAGAAATGTCTTTTTCATTTTTTTGACATTTTTATAATTCCATTCATTTTTTGAATTTTTTCTGTTTTCGCCATAACTTTCTTAATTTGTATCATTGTGGCAACTTTTTGTTTATAGTTGCCACCCGTGAAAAATATACTATTTTCTATTTCGATGTGGAAACAATACAGAAACCGTACTTGATTGGCCCAGTTTGCGTGCGTTTCTAGACAGAAATGATGCTGAAAGAAATAGAAACGTATTATTTTTTTTATTTTGTTGGATTGGTACCCCTCGCTTTTCTGCCGTCAACGGTATCCGTCAAATCAAAACTAAACATACCCTGTAAAGTGTAAATAACGTACGAGGAACTTGACCGATTGTATTAATTCCGATTAATTTTGAATATATACTCCAAAGGGTAGAACTTTTTTATTTTTACTTAGCGTAGTAAAATATGCCGCCAGTACATTCTTGCTTACTTTTTGAACTCCCTTCTCGGCTAGCCAGTTTTCAAAAATGTTGTACTCCTCGTACGTTACTTTCGATTTTACAGGCAGTAAATTTAACGTCGCTTCATTGGCAATCTCTTGGATCTCTGGTGGGGTACAAGAGACGTGTTTGTCATCCGTATTAATCATAACTGCCGCAAAATGGAATTATGACCAAATAATTAAAAGTTTGAAGTTTGAAAATACAGGAATCAGGTTAGCCAACGTGAAAATAAATTAACTGTGTCTATTACCAACATACACTGAATGATAGTTTAAAACGAGGTTTAAAATTACCTAACAAC